GGATTTGCCTTGTCTGCAGGTGCTGTACAAGGTCTTCAACTCTTTTGTGGAGCTGGGCCCAGCACACATCCATGCCACGGACTACGTGAAGGGGGTAGGTGAGTATGTGCCCCACCAGCCCTTCCAACTCTTCCTCCGGCTTGGAAGTGTAGGGGGTGAGCACGGGTGCTGTCATACTGCAGGGTGGGCACTGAGCACCACAGCTCGGTCATCTCCATCCAAGCTGTCATCTGGAGCAGGCACATGCTGGCCATCACCATGGGATGCTTTGGTGGGGACCCAAGTGGGAGCATGGAGTTTGGCTAGCCCAGCCCGGCGTGGCCATGGGGCACAGGCTCACTCGCTCTTGGTGAATCCCAAAGGTGCAAGCGAATCTTCTCCCCACCAGCCTCCTTCTTCCTGGTGAGCCTCGGGGGCACAGCCGTGGGGCTGCTCTTCGCCTTCCTGCTGGCCCTGATCACGCGGTTCACCAAGCGTGTGCGCATCATTGAGCCGCTCTTCGTCTTCCTCCTGGCCTACGTCGCCTACCTTGCTGCCGAGATGGTCTCCCTCTCCTCCATCTTGGCGTGAGTACTGGGGTGTCCCCAGGGGTGCGGCCAGGAACTCAGGGGTGCAGTGCTGGGCAGCAAGAGGCGGCGAGCAGACCCGCTCCCCATCCCACCATAGGGTCATGCCAGCTCCTTCTGCCCCTCTGCAGAGTCACCTTCTGTGGGATCTGCTGCAAGAAGTACGTGGAAGCCAACATCTCCCAGAAATCCCGCACCACGGTCAAGTACACCATGAAGACACTGGCCAGCAGTTCAGAGACCATCATCTTCATGTTTCTGGGCATCTCGGCTGTGGATACCTCCAAGTGGGCATGGGACACAGCACTGGTGCTGGGCACCCTGTTCTTTATCCTGCTCTTCAGAGCTGTGGGTCAGTCTGCCCCGCTGTACTTCTGATCCAGCTCTTTTCATGCCAAAAAGTGGTATCCCCCAAGAAAGGCTGGGGCATGAGGCCCGACGTGGCTCCTGGCTGGGGTTTTGCCCTGTCCCCAGGAGCAGGCAGGGCTGTGTTGACATCCCAGGCTCTCCTTCTCCTTCTTCCCTAGGCGTTGTCCTCCAGACCTACGTGCTCAACCGCTTCCGCCTCATCCCCCTGGACAGGATCGACCAGGTGGTCATGTCATACGGTGGCCTCCGCGGAGCCGTAGCCTTCGCCCTGGTCATCCTGCTGGACAGGGAGAAGGTGAAAGCCAAGGACTACTTTGTGGCAACGACCATCGTGGTGGTGTTCTTCACTGTCAT